GGGATACTTCACAATAGCGATTGTATGGGTTGTTTTACCAGAACAAGTTGTACCAACATGGTCAAACTATTTAAAATGCAAGACAATCAGCTGGGGGAAGAGAGGACGCTGGCCTATTCGGGGGTGTCGGGAATATCATCACTAAATGCAAGGAGCAACGCATTCTTACAGTGCAAGCTCAGATACTAACGGCCCTATTATCTACAAGCACTGAAGTTAAACTCAAAAGGAGGTGAATGACAATATAAGAACCTCCCAAACTTTCTGGCAATTACTCTGTAGTTGCTTCCTCACACCAGTCCATTGGAAGTTCACTGTATCCTCCTATTTTTGACTAAACAGGGATATCACACGATATGCTCCCACTAACGCTCCTAGAGTCAGGTGTCCTGTAATTTAAGCTTTTCAGCTCTGGTACTCTGTGGAAGTTATTCCATTTTGGCACAAGTGACAGCAATAGTGTGTGCTCTTCTTTGCTCGTGTATACAGATGTCAGCCAAGAGCATGCAGGAGTAATTCTTAAAGTGATAAAAGATCTTCAAAAGCCTAGGCAGGAGCAATACAATTTAATTAGCAGAGTTAATGCATTTCATCTGGCAAAGGTTAAAGATAACTGAAGGTCTCATCCAGCTCCGCTGAAATCAATTATGTAATTTCTATTTGCTTCCACGAATGCTTGACCAGGACACAACATTTTTAAAAAAGCATTTTCTGCATAAATCTGCTGATCAAATGTTTCATGGAGATAACTTCTAATGTCCTATACGTAGCCTTTGCATGACAGGATATTGTCATAGAAACATTAAAAAAAGGTAAAAAGCTAGGGGACTTAAAAGCTTAAAAGAATCCCTCACAGTCACAAGACAGAGGAAAAATAATAAAAAAACCAAAGCACCAGGTCCTTCATATATTCAGAAAGCACGACAAATCTGGAAATCTTTCTAAATGAAAATCACATAGAAGGAATGGGTTTAGCATATGTGCTAAAGAGTACACAGAATGATATAGACATTTTATCAGTGCCTACTATACATCCAAAAGTCAAAGGGAAGGTCTTATTCCAATATTTCAGACCTGTAGTGTAAGCTGGTTGTACAGGGTCCTACTACAGCCACAAGAGAGAGATTACTTTTCCAAATGACAATCATGGCATGCTAAGATCATTATTTAACAAGTGGAACCATTTGCCTTCTGGACTCCTACTGCATAAAATTACTTACGAAGAGCAACCCAATGATTAGAACAAAAAAGTGCCCCATCCAGAGGAACAAAGGATATACCTTAAGTATTTCACATTTTTGAGAGTTAGAAGCAGGAACAGACCTCCCATAACTCCAAAGCTAAACCATTTTTTATAACTATCCCATGGATAAGTTAGGATATGTGTAAACGGATTTCTTTCTTTAGCTTTCATTTGGAGTCATTTCAGCCATTAGCAAGGGAGCAGTATGTGTGAAAACAGCAACATTATTAACATGCTTGCATTTCAGAGAGGTATCCTCTGAGAGTTTGTCCTGCACCAGTGTTTATCAATGCATACTTACTTATTAATTGTATGTTCATACAGTGCAATGTTACAGTCATTTTCTTCATTCACATCCAAATATTCAACAAGGCCTTCATGCAAGAAGTCTTCAAAATTCCTACAGTTAAATGAAAAAACTACATTAGAAGTACTGCCTTTTCTTATTTTCCTGAAAAAATAAAACTGCAGAATACACATATTGAAGGAATGCAACATGTAGAAGTTAGACTGTACAAATATTTTTACATTAAAAGTTCTGCACATTTTACATATTTAAAGAAAAGTATTTTTTAAAAAATTATTCCCCTTGCTCATTCACCGCTTCACACAATCTGACTAACAAATGTTACTTAGTTGAACAACTATGCAAAATCTTTCTATGTGTACTCATCATCACCACAACTGTAGGCAAACATAAGGATAATCCAGCAAGCTTTTGTGACGGTTTTACAAAATTTAGTTAAAGCTAAATTTAAATGCTTTTGTGTAAGTGTTGTTTCTCAAACTTTGGGTTTGTTTTTTTTAAATCCAAACTAAGAATTTGCAAGAAACTTCAAAATTAATTCTGCATGTGCCTAGTTTAGGGTGGTCAAGCTGATATTCCTTCAAAGTGTTCGGATTTTTCCACTAAGGGAAATGATACTGCCTCAGATGATACTGTCAGAAAGATGAGGCTAGAAGATGTATTTATTCTGTATAATCACCAAATTTCATAGCAGTAACAAAATATGAAGACCAGACTTAATCTAACTTTAAACAGAAACCCTCTAATACATTGATTATTAATTTACACAGGAGAGTAGACTTCTACATAGCTAACACCATGATTGTGAAATACTAACTGAAGTATTTTCACATAGTATTTACTCAGTGAAGATGAATATGGTCTGCTTGAATTGCGTACCTGTACCCCTGAGCCAGTTCTTCCATATGCTTGTTTGTAACGGCAGGTTTTTGCTTCTTGACAATTATGTACGGTCTACAACAAAAACAAACAAACAAACAAAACCAGGATTATCATAGCAAATACCTAGCAGGTAACAATTTATACTTACTGTAAAAATCCCAACCTATTTGATAAACAACTTCTAAAATGTGTCCACCTTTAACTGATATAGCCACATAAATACAGTCAGTAATTATTCAGATTTTGGTTTGATACACAGGTATTCTGAACTGACATACTGTATATAAAATACTCAAAAATTATACAAGAAAAATCAAGATTTCGATTTTGAGGAGGAAGCCTTTCCCCCGCCCCGAAATCTTTAAACTAACATTTCTTAAATTTTACCTACACATTTTGTTGATGGCTTTAAGATTTCCCACATCACAAAGCTAAAAAAAGCATCAAGTTCTAAGGCTATCGCAGAGACTTCATACAACACTGAGTGGCTACATGTAAGAAGGTATTTTGCTGCTACTTACATGATGTAAGTACACGCATTTACTATGGATGACCTCAGATGAATCCATAAATTTCAACAGCACATGGATCTCTGAAGGCTTACTTACCGCAAGAAAACACTGACACAAAGGATGGCATGCAAGAATGAAACATCAAGGGCTGTTGCTATTTGGACAAGTTGCCCTTAGAAAGAGTGGCAAATAGATACAAGATACTTGTGGAGTCCACTCTGAAGTCTAAACAACTGTTGGAAGACTAATGAGCACTTTTAAATGGTTAATAGGGGTATCGGAACAATTGCAGGGTGGGGGGTGCCACAAAGCAAACTTGGCAACTCCTGGAAATCCACATGATTTCACTTGTCTTTTTATGTTACAGACTGGATGTTTTGCTGCATCTCCAAACCTGCAGAATGGCTGATGTTAGCCCTGACTGGGAAAGTGATTCCTCTGCCACTGGACATGCCCCTTCTCTGGATCTCTTGACCAGGTTTGAGTAACTGATGGTTTGTACATGTACTATTCTGGAGTGGCTAGAAGGCATTCAGCAGGCTTTTAGATTCAATTCATAAGGTGGAATGCCAGCTCTACTTGTGACTGCTCCTTTTTTAACTACACACAAAATACGCACACAGCTAGTTCTTGCTAAAATATGGATATATTTACTAATACATTCTGCCTCTCCCAATCTCTGCTTTGTTCATCTTTTCCACTTTGTTCTTTAGGCTAATTACTTGGGCCTGGAGATGCTTTATTTGTAAACAACGTAGCATAGTGCTACCATAATCTGACTGGAGACTCTAGCCTCTACTATAAATCAAACTGATTTTCTGTCTCCAAATACAGTTATAGTCCATTTATATATCTCATTTCAGCCACAGTGTTTACAGTAAGTTCACTAGTGAGATAAATTCTGATGAGATGTTTACCTGCACAATCTCCCTCCATCAGAGGAAATGTAGACACATCTGTCAGAAAGATTTGTAGAGATGGAAACAAATTCATTGATATAACCCGCTCGACGCATTATCCGAAATGTGTTGACTAATTTCTGATGATCACGTATAACACCAAGGATGTTACCTATCCAGAAAGAGAATAAATTATTGGTGCATTCTTTGCATATCCATGATCATGTCTAGCATGCACAGAAGTACTTTTTACTTCTGGCAAATAGTAAGATTTGTCACAGAATTTCCCTCTTCTGACATTGACTCTTTTTCTTTCAGTAAACGTTAAAAAAATGTGTCTGAATTTTGCAGGTCATCTATCTGTTTGCCTCTGAACAGCTTCAGAAACCAAACGGTGTGCTTCATCCAGCTGTCTTCAAATATGTTTCTGCTCAGGTGCCCACTCACCAATTAGTGCACACGCAACCCACATTTCTGAAGTCTGCAATTTCACCTGTACTGGAATGGATCCAGTTTCCAAGAACAAACCAACAAACTTTCCTCCTGCCTCGTCATATATTTTAGAAAGATCTGGTATTTTTCATATATGTGACCACTCACAACAGAATTCCTCCTTCAGTTCAACAAGCTTTTGCTATCTTAGCAGGGCACTTCATCACATACTTAAGCATACTCCAACACATGATGAACAAACAGGAGAGTAAAATTAATTTAAAGAGTCACCTGACCAAAGTAATCTTTTAATATAAAAAATCAGTATGGTGTAATTTTGAACAAAGCATTAAAGAAGGAGACAAAGCATTATAGTTTAAGGAATTTATAAGACAACACAAAGGTCTTTATCACTTAAAGGATTTGTACTTAAAAGATTTTTTGTCCTCTTCCATCACAAGTTTCAATAAGCATCAAATCAGCCACCCACATGCCTGATTCTTTTTATGAATTAAACCCCCAAATGAATAGATTGCACAATACATTGTTTTGCCTCACTTAGTATTAGATCATCTATGTTTGGTAACATCAACTATCTTGTTTCATGCCACAGATTTTGAAGGAAGGGCCCAATATTTCTGCTCTGGGCTCCCTTTTGGATCATAAAACAAGACAGAAAAGAGTGTGTGTGATTTCACTGAACTTTATCTTTCTAAAATACTGCTACAGAAAAACAGAGCAAAGGAATGCAGTTTGGTCAAGTGTTGCTTTTATGTTACTGGGAAAAGGCAGGACTGAAGAACAACTGCTGTTTAATTAAAAGGTAAATGGAGAACTTATTCATGGTGACAGACATTAAATACAAGTCCCTGGAAGCGGATGCTGTTGACAAAAGGCTATTTTTAAATCACAGTTGTGGTTTTCAAAATGTCAGTATTTTGAAATCTGATATCATCATACCTGTTGATTTAGAAACGATCAAACATCAGTTGTAAAAGGAACATAAGCATGCAGATGCCAAACCATTCCTTTACCAGGTAGAGTGCTGGTTTTCAAGGCCTAACTTTTCTAATCATTCACAAAGCAAGTTGCCCTTTAAAAGCTAGTTTCAAAAAGAATAGCATTGCTAAACTTTGCAAACAATTGATGTTTCTTTTCTGTTTTTGAAGGCACTTGCACACATATCTATAAATACATGGAGATTACATTAAACCTAAATACTTCCTGTGAATAAAGCTCTGAAATGGTAAACTCAAGTTATTACAAATTTAGCAGTGTTCTTCTCTTTTAAAAGTATGAATGGCACCTCATCTGGTGAATGCCTGAAAAAAACAAACAAATCTGTAACAGAATATACCTATTTGTGTGCCTATTTATGCAAGTGTGCTTAAAACCACTGAAATTTGAAAAAGCCTCAATTTCCCAGCTACACACATCTGCAGTCAAGAGCTCTGAGGCCAGAGCTTCAGATAACAACGTGCCATCATCCGGCCTGTCCACTTTGCCTGCCCCTATCAGAGTATTACAGATGAAAATCTCCCCACATGGAAAAGAGCGTCTGTGGTTGACTGTGCTCCAAAAACTGTTGGAGGGTTTCGGAGGCCTCACTCTCCATCAGTAACAAATCAGAGGCAGACTGCTGAAAAGTTACGTACCATTAAGGAAAACAAGGAACACATTTGGATATGAAAGTTCTTCACCACAGAGCAAGTTGACATCTTCAACTCCAAGATTACTGGCTAATTTAATAATCGGGCCATCTTCCATATCAGTAGTAATGTGAGTCATGAGGGCAAGGTTTTTAACCAAACCACACGCCTACAATAAAAAAATACACATTTTAACCATCTTATTCCAAAGTATTCATACTATTAATACCTTTTTCTTCCAAAACAGTACTTACAAACAAAAAAAAGTCAAAGTATAAAGTGAAAGAAATGAAACAATTTAACTACATTGAAAATCAGGAAGAAAGAAAAGAATTTTCTGTATCATATTGAAATGTAATGTTTTAGCATTTACAAAATAATAAAATATACAGGCGATGAAACTGTAGTTCCAAAATTATTCGACCATAATAACCTTGTATGTCTCTCTTAAAGCAACAGCCACTTAGAAGCATAATGGGAACACAAAATCAATCTATTTCAAATTGCCAGATAATCTGTAAATTTCAAGACAAACTTTAACATTTTGAAATGAAAAATATCCAAGCATCTTCTGTAGTGGAGACCTGCTAATATTGACTACACATTTAGGCGAGAAAGTTCAGAGTTCTCCCAGGACTTTCTACTCATGAAACAAACAAAAAAAAGAAACAAAAAAAAAGAGATGACTGTCAGCATCAATCATTTGGCTGAAATGGCTGGATGACATATTTGAAGTTGTTCTAGTTTCATCTAGGATAGAGCTAAGTTTTTTTTCTTCTTAGTAGCTAGAACAGAGCTGTATTTTGGATTCAGTATGAAATTTGGTATGAGAAGAATGCTGATAATATACTGATGCTGTTAGCTGGTGCTAGGAATTCAAGGACTTTTCAACTTCCCGCATCTTGCTAGTGTGCAGGTGCATAAGAAGCCGGGAGGGAGCACAGCCAGAGCAATGAACTCAAACCGGCCAACGGAATATTCCAGATCATACAGTGTCATGCTCAGTATATCAATGAGGGGTAGCTGGGAAGCTGGGGCTCACTCTCTTCTGGGATTGCAGTTTTGGCATTTTCTCCTCCAGGATTACTACCCAGGAACAGGACGGGTTTCAGTCGGTGGGTGATGAGTGTTGTGCATTACTTGTTTTTATATTCTATTATTACTATTATTATCATTATTATTTTATCTTATTTCGATTATTAAACTGTTCTTATCTTGACCTATGAGTGGATTTTTTTTTTTCTTCTCCCCATCCCACCAGGAAGTGGGAGGAGTGAGCAAGCGGCTGCGTGGTTCTTAGTTGTTGGCAGGCATCAAACCACA